ACAGCGGGGCGGTGTGGAGGAGGCTGCATCTCGCAGCTCGCCGTGTCCCCAGGGCAGCCCGAGGATGGGCGATGGCCCTTCCTCCTCCTCCTCCTCCTCCTCCTCCTCCTCCGCCGTGGCGCTGGGCGAAACGATGGCGTTTGGTCAGGAGCCATCTGACACGCGGCTGCCGGCTCTGGCACTGGCGTTCTGCACACCCACAGCTCTCCCCACTGCAGTGAGTGGAGACTGTGCCACCGGCTGAGACCTTGGCAAAGCTGTACCGAGCGATGCCCTGTGGAGCCCGTGGTGGCAAACAGATGTGGCACCCTGCTCCTGGAAGGTGGTGGCCAGACTGGGGGCCATGAACTCCCCCTCTCCTTGCTGCTGCAGCGTCCTGGCCTGCTGAAGAAGGAGAAATGCTCCAGCCTGCTGGAGTCAGGGGAGAGGAAGAATTTCAGAAGGAAAACAAGAGTTCTTTTCACTTAGACCAAGCTTACAAAATTAAAAAAAAAGTATTTGAGGAGATACTTGCTGTGACACTAATAAACTCGTCTGGGGGCACTGTCGTACCCCTGGGTCCCTCCTGCCTGCACTGGGAGTGCTGATGCAGTCCCAGCTGCGAGCAGTCAGCATCATTTTTTCTCTGGTGAGCACAGGCTGTCACATCCCCCCTCCCTCCATGCGCCACTTCGGCTGGCAGCAGGACCCAGACAAAGGCAGCGAGCACTGGCACACGGACTGAAGGCAGCTCAGGGTGCACGATGCTGTTTATTAATATCAGGCAGCAGTGAGATACAGGAACCGGGTACCAGCGGGAGGGGAGGGCGGCGGGGCCTTGGCAGAGTCTGGTGGGGTGCAGTGTTCCCCCCCTTCCATTACAGGGGAGCAGAGCTCAGAGAGGCTGTGCAGGATGGGGAGAGGGACTTAGGACACTGAATGGGTTTTACTCCCACTCTGTAGATGAGTCAGAGTATCCCAAAGGCAACGCTCATCCCAAAAAGCAGGGGATTTAGGGGAGCATGGAGGGGACCAGTGCCCTGGGATGTGGGGTGGGCTGGCAGGGAGGAGGAAAGTTGTGCTCCAACACACTCCCCGCAGAGCATCCCTCCCCACATTGACCTTAGCGATGCTCCTGCTCTCCTCTCCTGCAGGGGACAGAATTACACCATGAGAGGGTGACGTCGGGGGAAATACTGCAGACATTTATTAATCTGATTACTCAAGGAAACCCTCAGCCACTGTCCCGGGGGCCTTAAGCAGAGTGGTGGAAAGGTTTCAACAAGCTGGGGCCAGCGTGTCCATTGTAGTATCATTGCTGCATGTTGTGTTGTCTTCTGGCTCCTCAAAGACCCTCCGGAAGGCAACCTGGGGGGACACCAAGGAGCAGTGCCTCCAGCAGCTCCCCACCAAGAAGTAGATGAAAGGGTTGGTGCTGCTGTTGATGCAGGCGAGCAGGAAAACAACCTGGGAGGGCACAACACTGTAGCCAAACTGCTGCAGGAAATTCCAGATGCTGAGAGGAAGAGCAAAGAGGAGGAAGAAGAGGACGGAGAGGAAGATAACGATGTAGAGCCTCTTGGGTTGGTGCTGCTGGGAGCCACACTGGGCCTTGATGAAGACGATTGTGCTGGAAATGACCATGGGTGGGGCAAAAATAAGGAAGTTGAGGCCATACATGGAGATAAGAGCTATCTGGCAGTGATGGTGCTCCTGCGACAGGCACAGAGAAGTCACTGCAGCAATGACAGCGATGGAGAGGGCCCAGAGCAGGGCGCACACCACGGCTGGCAAGTGCTGGGGGCGGTGGATGCTGGAGCAGAGGATGGACACACACCTCTCGATGCTGATGGCTGTCAGAAGGTACAAACCCATGTTGTAGGAGAAGAGTGAGAGCAGGAAAAGCGACCTCAGGTACATCAAGGACACAGTGATAGAGCAGGAGATGTTGTAGATCATGTAGAGGAGGGCTGAGGCGACCATGAAGAGGAGGAAGGTGAAGTCGGCGACGGCCAGGTTGAGGATGTAAATAGTGATGGGCATCCTGCGGATGCGGAAGCCGAGGAGCCAGAGGACGGCCCCGTTCCCCACCAGCCCACAGAGGCAAATGAACAGCGTGACAGTGTCTACGGCCATGTCAGAGACATCTATCCCGCACAAGTCTTCTCCATCGGTGGTCGGTGTGGGTAGTGCGGGAGGTGGGGACATGTGGTTCACCTCCATGGACGCTGGGCAGGTGGTGGGACGTTGTCCCTGGCTGTGGTCAGAGGGGATGGGGAATTAGTGGCTTGGAGAGGTTGAGGCTGAGCTGTGTGGCCCTTCGCCAGCTCCCTGCGCTGGGAAGGCACCAGTGGAGGGCAAGCAGGACATGGGGGAGAGCAGTGGTGGGCATTCTGGGGTGGGAGAGGGAGATGGGAAGGAAGGGAGAGGGACATGCACCAGGAGATGCAGAAAGCAAGTGTAGGGCAGCAAGGAGAGAACCTGGGGAGACTGCTGCCTGTCACCCGGAGAGGCGTGAGGAATGCAGCTGCTGGCAGTGGATGCTGGAGGAAAGGAAGGTGGGGTGGGGATGAAGGAAAACCGCACTTAACTGTTAACTTTGGTGAAGCAGCAGGCAAGGGCTCTCTTTCCAGCTGGGCTCAGGCAGATCAGTGTCAGTGTCTTGGCATCTCACGCTCCTTTTGGATCCATCCCCTGAAGCTGATCTTCCCAGGACAGTTGCATGAAGAAGAAAGTGCCCTGGTCACCAGGAGGTCCCCTCTCTCGTCCCACTGGCTCCTCTTGTAGCCCTGTCCCTGGTGAGCCCCTGGGCAGCACACCCCACGCCCCCAGATGCAGCGGGGTCGCAGGAGAGTCGGGAATGGTTTTGTAACTGCAACTACGTCAGAGCTCCGCTTCCTTGTTTTTATTTATCTTGCTTTCTTTTTAGCCACAAAGGAAGTGGCTTTTGCCAGAAGCACCGCAAGCAGAATTTTGTGAATGGCTCTTCTTTTACTCCTGATTAGAAACACCCCTCCCTGAATTACGACCCGTTCGCTCACTGCTTTCCCTCTCCTGGCAGTTTTCTGCCATTCTTCATTTCTACTGTGCCTGTCTCAGGGCTCCCAGGACCCCAGCACCCCTGAGGGGGCATCACCCCTCCAGCAGCAGAGCACGATGCTGGTGGTGCTGGTGGTGCTGGTGATGCCAGCGATGCGGCGGTGCTGGTGGTGCTGGCAGCACTGGTGGGGCAGCCAGGTGCTTCTCAGAAGTGACTCCCCTTCTGGGAAGAGCATGGAGATCATCGCCAAAACCTCCCCTGGGCCCAAGGGCACATACCTTCAGACTGGAGCCAAGAATTAACATTTCCCAGGCTGATGAAGGCTTTGACAGCCCAGTCGAAGGACAGAAAACAGTTGTTTTCAGGCAGGTTACCACCATACTTGCATTTATAACCCAGATTATCGCTTAACACCCCTTAGTAATGCAATGAAAGCTATTAGAGACCAGGTTTTGGGGTGCTGTGTTCCCCCTCCCAGCTCTTCACCAGTGACACATCTTCCTCCTCAGTCTTGGGAGCACCTGTAGTTGTTTTTACATGATCCCATGCCTTTGGTAGCCCACACACCTTGGGCTGCAGCTCCTGAGCTCAGCCTGGATGTTGTTAAACCCACTCGTGGCTCATGGCTCCTGCTCAGGGCAGAGCAGAGCACCCCTTGGAGGCACTTCACCCCATGCCTGGTCTGGCCCCACCATCCCACCGAGCAGGTCTAAGGGGACCCCAAACTCCTCACAGCCCCTGCACAGCCTGCAAAGGGCTTAACGTTAAAGCCAGTAAGTTTTTTGCAATTAACATCGTCATTGTGATGATTAAAATGGCAGAGCTTCTCCGGAGGGACACACTGTCCCAAGGAGCACCCTGCCTCTCCCACATGACGGTGCCTTTGCAATTGGGAGGCATTTTTGGCTTCTCTCCCAGCTACCTGGCTGACTACCTGGTTCTTTGCTGCAGTAGCCTTTGGTTGCTCTAAAATATACCGCGAATATTTAACATTGATTCCCAAAGACACTGGAATTATCCCAGTAACAATTCCAGTTTCAGGATTTTCAGTAAGGGCAGAGTTGTTTCCAAGGGTTTCATATCCAGGATGCTTCATATCAAAGTCCCTTCCTTCAGCGGGGACTGTATTATGAAAACGGATCCTATCACCTGTGTTTTATGTGAGAATTGGGACCAAGCTCATGGGTAGAGCTCGTCACTGAGCCACGAGCCCTGGGGATGCTGGTGGGAGCTGCAGGATCCTCCCCACTCCCTTCTGCATCCCCCAGCTAAATTCACCAGCCGCATCCCAGCTCCCTGAAGTCAGGCAAAACCACCGTGGTGGCCGCGTTAGCCTGCGACAGGGCTGCTTGCCAGTTTGCAGAGTCAGAAAGGAAATAGCATCTTCCCTGCGGCATTCCTGGACTTTGGACTTGGGGGTGGGATGGACGGGGACAGCCTGGGAGCAGCGCATCCACGCGTGTGCCTGCAGCACCGCGCCTCAGCAGCGCCCAGAGGATTTCTGAATGAAACCTCCCACTCATTCTTCAAGTATCTGAAGCATCCAGAAATGAACTACTCCAGCTGTCTTACCAAAGCAAATTGTTGCTTGCACGACAGGCTGATTTCTTAGAAGTTACATGTTTGTTCCCAAAGAGATTATTATTGTCTGCTGACTTCAAGGTTCTTTTCTGGGGGGGGTTGTCTGTTTGTTTGCTTTGGTTTTAAGGCTAAATATAATAGTCTTGAGTCACACTGGAGTGCTTCATGGGAGGGGGGAGGAAGCCCCGTTCCCTGGTCACTAACTACCTGGCAGGCTGGCTGCAGCCGAGCTGACCTCTGGCCCCCAGCAGTGCTTCCATCCACCTCCCCCCAGCCACTCAGCTGGGAAATACAGAGAAACACATCACAACTGGCAGGAGACTGGGAATTCCCTGCTGCATGTGGGAAGGACAGCTGATAACGTCTCTGTCTTTTCAAATCAGGACACTGAGTTCATGAAGAAACGGGTATTTTATTTTTTTTTCCAATAACGTTTAGTGAAGCAGATGGAGACATTAGTCTGGGCACGACAGGAATCTGTTTTCTGCCTCTAGTTTTTCTGCTGAGCCTCTTCTCTTACCTGATACCTGGTTAGGCTGAATTTTGGGTGCGCTGGGATTCTTTGTAGAGTATTTTAAATAATAAAGCACAGGATTTTGCTAAATTAACTTCAAAAAAATCAAAAGCTCCCCAAGTCACAGGCAGAAAAATCCTGCTACATAGCAGCACTGCTGTGCATCAACCCTTTCCCCCTTCTTCATTTTTTTTTGGGGGGGGGTGTGTGTGTCTGGCTTTTCTTTTGTTATAGGGAAAAGAAGAAACAGATTTTATCTTGTACGCATTTAACTTCTTCCACAGAAACATCACTATCAGCCCCACTATCTGCACGGTCAGTCACTGCTGGCAGTGGGAGGGATGATTCATCTGGAGACGGGGCAGCTCGGCGAGAGGTCACTGGGCTCTGCACGATCCTCATGGCCACTTCTTCCAGAAAGGGGAATTCTCCTTGTTATAAAATCACCACGAAGACAGCCTCGTGCAGAAGGGCACGTAGTGCCGCTAGCCTCTTACAAAGTTTACAAAAGACAGCAAAATTAAATCTGAATATCATAACCTGCGACTGTGTTTAACACGCTCTTACGCCTCAGGGAACAATCCTTTACACAAAACAACAAATCCTCTCATTTTGTGCAATTCAAGCCAATTCTTAATTGCCAGCGTTCTATCCTCTGAGCTTGAAGGAACGGCTCCCTTCTCTCGTGACTTAGTAGGCTTGGATTTTTTTTTTCTCCCTGTGCAAAAGCTTAAAGATCTGTGCCATTTCTTTTCAATCAAGGCTGTGCCATGCGTGCAAACTACAAAGTATTATTAGTAAAAAAACTCAGGGGAGGAGTCATCCAGGAGCCTCCTTATCGCTCTCATATCAGCAGGCGCCTTCTCTCCTGCAAGTGCAGACATCCATGCTTGCAGGGCCAGAGATGGCTCATTAACACTGATTGGTAAGATTCTGCAGCTGACATAGAGGGGTTTTTTTTCCAGATGTATATTTTTATCTCAAGAAAACAGACTTTAAGCAGGCAGCATCACCCCTTGGTCCCACAAAGGTTCTCAGCCTCTTGCTGAAATCGGTTCACGCTACATCTCTTCGGGAGCACACACCAGGGTTTCTCAGCCCCTGAGAGCCGGCACAGCTCCCATCTCCCAGCTGCTCCCACAGACTGCTGCCCAGCGCTGGGGGTTCCTCAAGACAGGGGGTTCACATGGTCACCCCTGCAAGATTTGTACCTTGGGGAAAGCCAAAATAAAAGCAGAACCATATTTGGACGAGTTTCAGTGAGAAAAAACCATCTGGGAAGAGAAAGCTGTTGGGATGCTGTTGTGCTCTTCATGGCTATGGATGGGTCTCACCCAGAGCGGGGCACAGCGCCGGTGCCTGCGGGCTCTGCCTTCCCGGGAGGAGGAGGAGGATGGACGGTGAAGCACACCCTGCAGCCGCAGAAGCCGGGAGGTACCGTTCTGCAGATCCATGATGATTCACGCTGGCTGAAGATGGATTAAGAAAGCACCAGGTCGTGCTTTCCCTCCGCCCCATGGAAATCTGACTGAAGAGAAGCTTTGGGAGCAACTGAGATGGAGCTGCAGTGCAACTGCATTGCATTTAATTCAGCCGGGGCAGGACATTTTTAGCTAATTACTTTAGGATGAAAAAGCTCCCTTTGGGTTAATTTTTGCAGGGGCTGAAGGAGAAGTCCCGCAGCAGCGCTGGTTTGGAGCTGGCGGGGTGTACCGCCCGCGGTCCTGCAGCGGGTGACTGTTCCCAGCCAGCCCAGCACATTTCTCCCGTGGGCAGGGGCTTCCCGGAGGATCCTGCTACACTCTGCCCACTTCTCCACGGCCAGAACAGATGCTGGGAGTGGGCTGAGGGGGAATTTGGAGTGAGCCGGCTCAAAGGACTTGTGGTTGGAAGGACATTTGGGACAAAGGCAGTGAGAGCTGGAGATGGCAGCGATAATTATTACAAGCTTCGGCAGCATTATTACTCACTGGGACACTTGGAAGCTCATCGCTGAGATACTTGAATTTTTCTTGAGTCGTTTAAACAGTTCTGGGTGAAAGGATTGCCCTTTGTTATCAGTTATATATTTTTCATTGCTACCCTGTTAGACTTGTCTATAATTTCCTTCTAGTTTCTTATAATTGTAGGGGTTCTCTTTGACTGCTGAGTGGGTTGTAAGACGTTTCTGCTGGGAAATGAGCATCTCCTCCGCTCGAGCCCCCCCAGCAGCAGTGTGAGCTGCAGGCAGAGGAATGCTGATTAATTAAGTTCAGTTCACACATATGTTGCTGTGGTTTGGTGTTTCGTCCAGCTGGCCCTGGGTATGTTTTTTTTTTTTTTTTTTTTTTTATTTCCCCCTGGGATCATAGCAATCTAAAAGCAAATCAGAGTCTTCTGGGAGAAGTTGATCAATTCTTTTCCATATTTCCCTATTTCTGAGAGCTGTGTGACTTCGGAGTGGACAAAACTCCAGGTTTAATTAAAGACTATGAGTTTGTTTCTTAATATTGCCCTTTTCTCCCCATTTTTACCATAGAGAGAAGAAACATAAGCATTTAAAATGATGCCGCAAGGTTCCTTTAGGGACATCAACATGAAGGAACTTGTCACCCTTGTCTCCAGCATGGCTGTCACCACATCAGTGGGAGTCAGTAACTGCCATCCTGATTGAGAATCAGAGATTGTGATGCCTCAGTGGCTGCCACAAGGTGACATAAACAAACATCTGCTCAGTACAATAATCACTGTTGTCACTGCGCTGGTTGTCCTCAGGTGTGCCAGGACCCCGGGTCAGGAGCTGCCATCAGGAACCACGTCCCCCGGCCTCATGCACACCCTGCCAAGCACACACCCAACCGGGCATGAGGCTGCTGGGCAGGAGGGAGCTTCCCCAAGCAGCAGCTTTATCACATGAATAATAGTAACAACTATTATTTATTATTACTTATTTATAGCTTAATTTCTCTATTATTTGTATGTATTTGTTATTTCTTACTTATTGCTATTTATAATTTATTACTTATAATTTATTATTTATTCAGTAATTTACTATTTAGTGTTTATTATCTACCACCTACAGTTCATTATCTACCATCTATTGTTCATTATTTCCCATCAACGGTTCATTGTTTACTATTTACTATTAGTAGTATTTATTATTTACTATTTGTTGTTTACTTATCGCATAAACATCATTTAATACTTAACAAATATTTAACATTATTTACAAACAATTGGGAAACGTAGCCAGATAGCTGCTGGCTGCACTTCTCCCTGTCAGGAGGAGCCATCCTCACAGCAGCCTCTGCCTTACGCTTGGCTGGGCTCTCACTGTCCTGCTTAGGGTTCCTCTTGCTCCCTCCTTTAATCTCATTTTCTGTTGAACTCTTCCATTAAATATAAAAATAAATGTCTGGGTGTGGCCCCTTTCTTGGTGGTGCCAGAGCCCCTGACCCTGGGGAAGCTGCTCTCAAAACCAGCCGGTGGTTGGATCAGCTTGGGGGCTTTGGAGACACTGAGGAGTCGGGGCCGGACGGGGCAGCTCATGGCATCAAAACTCTCCTTCAGTCCAGCTTCTTTATCATTTAAATGAATGTTATCTATTAAAGCATTTTGAGGAGCCTGTGTTTCATGTCAAATCAGGGCTGTTAACTAGCATCAGGAGTGTTTCACTTCCCGTTTGATGAAAGTTGTGAGGAAGAGGAGTACCCACCAGCACGTTGCATCCCCTCCGCCCCTCTGCCTGGAGCTGGGCTGGAGGTGCAAGTAGAACTGCAGCCTGGGCTGCATGGGATTTGCTTCCTCTTGCTCTGGGCATCTGCAATGATTTTTTTTCCTGAGATATTTGTTTAGATTTGCTGTACAGCAGGCACAGAAACAAGACAAATCTCCATAGCCCCAAAAAAGATGCTTGGAGCAGTGAAAAGGTTTGAGGCTGGTGCCATGAGGAGTCTCCTGCCCTGCAGAAATCACTCGTGAGGAACAAATCCCCTCCAAGGACTCACACCACACCCCTGAAACCTCAGCAGAGTGAGACGTGAGGATGGGGCACGGAGCAGCCACCCACTCGCCAGTGTCAGTAAGGGCAGGTCCATGGCCTGTGTTGTACCCGGGACGTGGCGGGTGGGTGTGTCACACCACCCCGCTTCCCTCTTGACCGCCCCACGGTGTGGGGTGATGGAAGTGTCCAGCTCAGCTCTTGCAAGTGACAGTCAGCGGGTGCTGTGCCCGAGCGTCATTTCCTCAGGGTTGGTGGGGAGCTGGTGCATTTTTGTGGCAGAGCGGACATTCACACCGGTGGGAACCGTGGCACATCTCAGGGACATTGCCAGCAGGCACAGAAGAGAAGAAGCGGATGAGAAGAAAGATGATAATTTTGTGCTCAAGATGACAGCAGGTTTGCAGACAGGAAGTTTTTGAAACAACCAGAGCAGCCTGCAACGCCTGTCTCGTGAGGGTGACTCTTTGGCAAGCTGCTTCCTCTGCTCTCAGAAGTGATGACCAAGCTCTGGCACATCTGTGTGCCTGCAGCCACCCACTCTTGAGCAGAAACCCAGGACCGTGGGCCCAGGGCCCATTTGACCTCCAGCTGAGGAAGATACAGGGTGCCAGAGCCTGCACAGGGACTGTTGGAAGAACTTCATCATGGAGTTACCTTGTTCCCGGTGGCCAGTTCTCATCTGGGATGATTTTGGTACGGCAGCTTTTTAAACTTGCACATGTAAGTCTGACAGAAGACTGGAGCGTGCGGCTCTGGGATAGCAAGGCAGTGCAAGAACTCTACCCTCACTGGACGCCCCACACCTGGTGAGAGGGGTCTGGGGGTCACCTTCATGCCTGTTGCTGGGGCACTCTGCTCTGATCTTCCTTGATCTTTCCATTCTTTCCAGTCACCTCCTCAGTCCTTTTCAGTCCTTAAAGGGCAAATGGCTCTGCATGTCTTTTCTTTCTCCCTCCACCCCTCTTCGAGCTCTTTGTCTGTCTCCTGCAACCCTGGGCCTAAACTTTTTCCTCCTATCCCTATTTCTCTGGATGTCTTCTGTCTTCCCTTTCCCTTTCCCTTTTTCCTTCCCTTCCCTTCCCTTCCCTTCCCTTCCCTTCCCTTCCCTCCCCTTCCCTTTCTCCTTTTTTTTCTTCCCAGTTCTTATTTTCTTTCGGTTGCAGATGTTGTATGCCATGGAGGAGTGGGGAAGACTGAACGACCAGAGGACATTCACAACACTGGTGACTGGAGAGTCACTGATTTTGCCTTCATCTCTTGTCTCCCCAGGTGAGCACGAGCGAGAAAGAAGGAAGATGGATCGACATCCTAACAACACAATCCATGACTGGCGCACAGTGTCCCCTGCGCCTACAGAGAGCATGGTCTATGGAGATGGACAAAACGGGACGAGGTGCTTTGCAGAACACATCCCTGAAATCGTCACTGGTAGCATCACGCTGCTCATTTGCCTGTGTGGGCTGGTCGGGAACGGGGCCATCCTCTGGCTCCTCGGTTTCCGCATCAGGAGGAACCCCTTCACCGCCTACCTCCTGAACCTGGCTGTGGCTGACTCCTGCTTTCTCCTCTGCACCTCGGTTTTCCTTGTAATATATCATATGCCCATGCTCAGCTGCTTTCAGCCAGAGCTTTTGCGGGTGCTGCCGCTATTTCACTCCATGGTTCTGCTCATGTACAGCACCAGCCTCTATCTCCTCACGGCCATCAGTGTGGAGAGGTGTGTGGGTGTCCTCTGGCCCTTCTGGTGCCGATGCCACCGCCCGAAGCTCCTGTCAGCCATCGTGTGCAGCCTGCTGTGGGCCCTCGCCTTCGTCTTTGCCGGGCTGGTGTACTTTGTGTGTGACCTGGGTCACTCTGAACACTGCTGGATGGTTCTTGGAACCTCGTGCTTTCTTAATTTCTGCTTTTTCACTCCCTTTGTGGTTCTTTCCAATGTGATCCTCTTCATCAAGCTTAGGCATAGCCCCTGGCAACAAAACCAGTCAAGGTTGTACACTGTTATCATCCTCACTGTTTTCTTCTTCCTCCTCTTTGGCATCCCTCTCAGTGTTCAGATCTTCCTCAACTTCTTTGTCTACATTAATTTTGTCTTTGAGATCTGCTTGTTGCTGGCCTCTGTCAATAGCAGCATCAATCCAGTCATTTACGTCCTGGTTGGGAACTATGGCAAGTCCAGGTTCAGAGGATCAGTCAAAGTGGCTCTTCAGAGGGTCTTTGAAGATAGGGCAGATTCCCAAGAGGTGGGTGAGACCCCTGTGATGGGAATTGCTGCCTGATCCCGCACCGCTGCAGAGAGGGCAGCCCTCCTCTGCACCCCGGGCCAGCGCCCACTGGAGCAGAGCCCTTGCCCGGCAGTGGACAGTCGTGTGTCCCCCAGGACACAGCCACGCTCAGAGAGACTCCCAGGGGCAGGGCTGGTTCCCACCTCAAAGTTATTTTTGTTATTATATTTATATTTAATAGTTATTTTAATAAAAGTGTCTTTCATGTAACATAGTTGACTGCAGTTTCTTCCTTTTCTGGCTCCATGGGGTGCCCTTGCTTGTTCTCAAAATTACCATTGTGATAATCGCCTCACACTGCCCACTAGTTTATAATGCTGAAATATTGTGGTCCAGAAAGTCCTGCCTCATCTGTTCTCCTGTTCTTCAGGGTTAACACGGCCATGCTCTTGGCCCTATCTGCGTCTTGTCTCCTTCCCAACGTGGAGACGTCCCAACTCTTCTTGCCTCTACCCTCTTCTGGGACGCTGGTGCCTGATACTAAAGCACCAACCACTCACTACCTTGATCCTCAAAAGCCCCCAAACCAGAGATGGTGGTGAGGGACAGAAACAATATGTTCAGTTCCCTCTGGCTTAATTTCCTCCTGTGCCACAGTCTGACAGAGAAAACCCATCTCAGTCTGGCTGATGGAGCTGGCAGCATCAGTCAGCAGCCAGACCTTCACCCTGCCGAGGGGGTTTAACTGGGAAGGCAGGAGGGGACAGGCTAAGAGACAAGTGCTCCTGGTGTTCAGTCCTGAGCCAGGTTGGGCAGAGGATGGACAGACAGCTAGCGCGGGGCTGATGGCTCTTGGAAACAGCAATTCTGTGCACCAAGTGGGGAAAACCATGGAGCAAACAGGCAGGGCAGACCCAAGAAAAGAGACAGAAATAGAGGCTGGGAAGGTTCTCACAGGCAGTGGCTCGAGGAGGCTGAGCTCTGCCTGCCAGATGGTTTTATTAGCCTTCCCGGCACAGAAACAACTGCTACCAGAGCCATAATATTTACAGAATGTAGCTTCCTTTGAACACATACAAGCCTGACCCCCATACAAACAAATAAATATGTCTGTAAATCATGTTGGAAATCAAAATCTTAGGCGAACGTGCTCAGGATGTTGCCCATGAAAGCAGAAGCTGAGAAACGCTGGGTAATTCTGCTCCTTTGTGGAGCACACGGGTAGATTGGGCAGCGAGCATTTAGCTGCTGGACCTTGATGCTTTCCTTATCATGACCTGTCTGCACTTGTAAGGGTTGGCTGGGTGAGGGGATGTGAGGTTCTGCAGCTGGGGACACAAGCGCAGCATCGGCAAGGGAGAGAGGAGGCGGGTTTGGACCCAGGGTCCCCACACGTGCCAGTTCCCAGCAGGAGCACCCCTGCTCCCAGATGCAACAGGAGATGTTTGACCTGAGCAGCAGTCGGTCTGGGTAGGAATCATTTCACCTAACTTCAGCTCTCTAGAATTTACACAGGCCGGTCTGAGGAAACCCTTGTAGGCTGCTGACTGACTATAGAGTGTAGAAGACAACTCATATGAAACCCGTAACTTTTAGATGGCTAAAGCCAAGTGAGCAGCACTGATTCACCTCTCCTTAGGAAAATAAAAGATTTTCCTGAAATTCTAAATCATCTCTCCGCCATCTGCCTGTGTTCTGGTTCGTGCACAGATTTTATCATTCAGTTGGCTCCTGGATGCAATTGGTGCACTCACTCCTACCGCGTTCTCAGAAATGGTGTATTTGAAGGTCGGGTACCACTGTGAAATTGTGGTATACAAGTGGCAAACCTAGATCTGAATCAGAAATACAAGTTTTGCAGCAACACAAAGTTTGTAGCACAGGGTCCTAAAGATACACCCCTGGAACAACAGGGGAAATGTTCAGCCCGCTCAAAGATGTTAATATTTTGGAAATGGGGTTGCTTTAAAAAGAAATGAAAGAGGAATCTGACACGGAGACAATCTTCTTTTCCCATAGGTCTAATTTCTGAGACTCTTTTGTTAGTCATTTCCTGTACAAAGACAAGAATAGATTATAACCAGAACCCTGATGCTGTCAAATGCAATGAAATAGTTCCCTATTTGCAAGAACCCTTGTGAACATGACCTGCTTGGCTAACGTGGGGAGAAGTGCTTTGTGAAAGGACCTGAGAAAGACCCCTTGCTGGACGCAGCACAGGCTCACCAAGGCAGGCTCCTGTCCAGTGTTCCAAGTGATAATTCCAGAAAACCTCATGAAGATCGTGGGGGCGGCAGCTGGCGAGTGCGAGGGGATGAATCTGCAGCCCGTCTGCTCCAGTGAAGTTCTTCAGGCTGCGAGAGGAAAGAAGGTCAGAGTTTTTCTGGGTGGGGATTTTTTTCAGCCTAGTCAGGGCCTCCCCTCATTAGTTTTGAACTATTTGGTCTATTTTCACCGAATCTGATTGGGGAATAGTGGTTTCTAGGATATTAAGACCTATAAATATTGGGGGAAGAGGTGATAAGGGAATACTGAAATGAGCGTCCCACTGAAGGAAACCGGCAGCTTAGTCAGATCAACTATAATATTAGACACCTGAGAATCCATATCAGATCCATCCCCAAAACCACTTGCTCTTTGACATCTCCAAGGACAATCCTTTCAGCTTATTATTTTCCTCCTCCTGATCTGTCCTGTCCAAAGCCAGGAAGGTGGCATCTCCCTCGCTTTTGCTCCACCTCTGCACATGTTCTTGTGCCAGGCATGTCATAGCCATCCTGCCTTCCATCTCTCCTGTGCCTTGTTTCTTTCTGTGATCCTTCATGTGGGAGCTGGGGCGTGGCTGCAAAGGTCTGATAAACCAGGTGTGGGGGACAGGAGAGTTGCAAACAGGTCTCTATTTTGTCTCGTCCCTCCAGCTGTGGGAGGGGGAAGAGGCAGCAGAGGATTTTTAATGAGCACACTGTCCCCTGCGATGGAAAGAGCCAGCACTGCCTGCTGGAGCCAGCCCGGTGGGACAGCATTTAATGGGACTTGGCATCACCGGCTGCTGAGGTATGAGGACGATCACTATAACTGGACCGACCATGAAGCCGGTCACTCCAGCAAAGTCCCCGTCACGCTGCTCATCTGCCTCTGCGGGCTGGCGGGGAACGGGGCCGTCCTCTGGCTCCTCGGTGCCTGTGTCCGCAGGAACCCCATCACCGTCTACGTCCTCAGCCTGGCCGTCGCCAACTTCACCTTCCTCCTCTCCATCGCCATTGCCCTTGTGATATTTTACAGCCTGGACAGCGTTTGTCACAGTCTGGGCTCATCGAACGTGACAACCATGTTGAACATCACCATCCTCTTCGCTTTCACCGCCGGCGTCTACCTCCTGACAGGTTTCAGTGCCCTGACGTCTGTGTCCATCCTGCCCCCGGCCCGCTGCCCCTGCCACCGCTCCCAGCAATTGCCAGTGCTCGTGTGTGCCCTGCTCTGGGCTCTCTCCTTTCTGCTCACCGTGACCCTCTACATCTGCCCTGCAGCACTCACTGTCTTCGTCCTGAGCTACCTCTTATCTCTGCTTATTCTGATTTTTTCTGGTCTAACCCTGCTTGCCAGACTCTTGTGCTGCTCATGGCAATACCCCCCAAGAAAGCTCTGTGTTGTGGTCCTGCTGGTTGTCTTTGTCTTCCCCTTCTTCACAGCTGATTTTGGTTACTGGCTTTTGCTGAGACTGTTTGATTTTTCTGTTTTTGTCTTTGACGCCTCTCTCCCGCTTGCCTGTGTGAACAGCAGTATCACCCCTGTTATTTACTTCTTGGCTGGGAGCTGCGCAGACAAGTTCACACTCTCTGTTAGGGTTGCTTTCCAAAGGGCTTTTGAAGATGTAACAGAGCACCAAAATACAGGCAAAACTCCCAGAGAAAACACAGTGGAAACAGCTGTTTAAACCTCTGCAGCCCCTCCCTGGGAGAAGATGCTCTTGGGATGGAGGCGTCTTGCCAGCCAGGGTGAGGTTTTGGTGTGGATCTGGCCACATCTGAACAGAATCAGCTGCAGCCCGACAAAATATGCTGGGTGGCACAGGAACTCCTTCCTGGGATGGACACTGGACAGCATGATGAAATACCCATCGAAAGCTTTTGCTTTGAAACCTTCTCTCTGAATCTGTCCTATCCAACAGGTCTGAGCTTTCCCACAAGTGAGCCTGCTCTATCCCACAAACTATTAAAACAGAGCGGTGGAGGATCTTTGCTCCTGCGAGTGGGTTTTTTTCCGTGTGTTTTCTTAAGAGCAGAGTGTTCCTGGATAAGAAATCTTGGCACAACAGGGCAGAACAATTCCTGGGCAAACCCTTGTGTGTACATCTCCAGCAGGTGCCAACGTGTGTGAAGAATAGGTGGAGACTTCACACTCAGCTTTGTCAGCAGGCAGGTAGGAGCGTGTTTGGGGTTGCTTTCCCTGAAACGCGTCGCTTCTGCTGCAAACTGAGTTTTGTCCACACATCACGTGAGTTGTCTGCACACAAGGGTTTTTGACTGGAAGTGCCGCCCGTGGTTCCTCCCACTTTTCTGTGGGCTGTCTGTGAGCAAACGCCGTTTCGCAACCGTGACCTGAGGTCTGTATCCATTTCTGGAGTGTCTGTTCCTCATCTAGAAAAACAAGAGGAGTAAGGTTGAAATGAAACAATCCAAAAAGCACAGCTCTGCCTGAAGACTCTGTAAAGACTGGATTGTCCATGTGAAAGAGGATACAGGGAGAGGGAAGGAAAACAGTGGGCTCCTCATGGGAAAGACCCTGTGAGGCCATGAGGACTGACTCGCTGTAGCCTGGCTCAGGCACTTGCTGGGTAAATGGGGTAGTGGCAGCGTTTTCTCTGCTCCTCTCTCCCCTCTGTGCCTGTCAGCCCTTGCTGGCTGGGGGGTATGCTAGCCCTCATTTGCCTGTGAACTAAACCACCGACAAATCACTGCTTTTGAGCTGGTTTTGTTTCCTGGTGCGACTCCCCACCACACCAGGGTGCACTAACTGTAGTACGAGCACAAGGGAAAGGTTGGGAAGATGCATCTGGCAGGGATGGGTGGTGGCAGAAAAGACATCGGCAGAGCAGACCCAGGAACTGCTGATGCTATGGCCTCTGGGACCTGGGATGGTGACAGAAGTTTCTCTGCCCTTTGGCTTGTCCCTCAGCCCAGAGCCATGTGTCACCGGACAAGCTGGAACGAAAATCGATCACTTGGTACAGTACAAGTACAGAGCCATGATAACTAAATCTGTAAGACTCTCTTGTAAAAACTAGGAGCTCAGATAACTGGTGGCCTGGGTGACTCTGCAGGCAAGGGAGATCCCAGGAATCAGGAAAAGCACACGAGAGGATCGTGATCATTCTGCACCTGCCTTGGGAGACACCCCTGGATGATGGGAGCCCTTTCCTGGACACCAGGTTGTAACTTGGAAAGTTTTTACTTTCCAAAGGACAGGAAAATGGAAGAGAGGGAGACAAAAACCCCTCTGAGTTATGGAAGACTCCTGCCCTGTTTTGTAAAACAACTCTCTAAATAAATGCTTCTGAGATGCTTAATCTTACCATGTGTCTTCAAACCATGACTCGCCATCCATGGGTTATACTATTGCTTCTCTTTCTAAAAGCAGTGGCACGTTAGTTACCCTTGGATTTGAGGTAGAGGGAAAAGGATGGACAACTCCCCACTGTGTAAGAGGCAGGGAAATGGGTGGGTGAGTGCAGGCGTCCCTATCACCTGCAAATGGGATGATCTCCCCTGTCAGGCTCTGTGCCTCCTCCCTGCTTTCCCCAGCAATCTCCCAGGTGCTGGGATGCTGCGAGGTCCTTTCCTTCTGGTCTTTCCCCCTGCCCTTCCACTCTGCCTGCACCAGCCAGACTCAGCCCTCTACCCAACGAGGAGATGCTCTCCTGGTGTGCTCAGCTGTTCCTGAGGAAAGCTTTCAGCACGTCTGGGCAGCTCCACTGCCGTGGTTTGGCTCAACTGGACGCTTCTTTTAGTGAGATACATCTCTGCTAACTGCAAGCATCCCGGACAGATGTCATCTGCTGCCCAGATCCCTCCCAGAATGAAAAAGAAGATCTTTGGGGTCAGAGCTACCATGTTGGAAACATACAAAAAAAAAAATTTCCATATTTAATTTAGGAGTAGCAACAAAATGATGCCTTAGTTAGATAACAAGAAAAAGATCACTACAATCAGGATTTTGGAATGTATGGTTAGTCACTGAAACAGCCGTGCAGAGGAGCTGCTCAGCTCCTCCTGAGGTTCAGGATGGAGGCAGGGAAGGGCTTCCTCCTGATGCTGAAGCTAGCGAACCGAAGGATGGCCCCGCTCCCCACCAGCCTGCACAGGCAGATGAGCAGTAGGATGCTCCTAATTTCTACAAAATTAAGTGGCCCGTATATCTGATTATGTTAATGTCCATATTCCAAGTTCTTCTTGTTCAAGGACAGAGAAGGTGTGTTCAGTGGAGTTACTATGAAATCTTTGCTGCAAGCAAAGACAATACAGGAATTAGTGTCTCCGGCTTGCCAAGACCATCTGATCTGGTAATCCCCTGCCTTGCTTCATGGCGTGGCTTGCTGTTGTGTCTGGGGAGTGTTTGATGAGCTGTGCCAGAGCAGGTTCCTGTCTCAGCCTCCGCAGCTGACATCGGCTCACTGTGCTTATCTCCAGCATCACAGAGGTGGTCTTTGGCACCTGACATCCTGAGCTGCACTGTGTTGGCTCACTAGTCACCTTGAAACATTTCCTTTCCAAAACTGGTGCCTTTTCTGGAGACTTATCTCCCTTCATCTGCCCTACAAAGTTTAGCGGACAGGGTGTCATAGCACTGGCTGAAGCAAGGCAAGAAGAAGCCTCCTTTGGGATGTTTTCATCCCCGTGGACAAAACATTTGTGGAAATATTGAAAAGCAAAGCAAATCTTAAAATCCTCTCTTGGTTTTCCTGTAGGGACTGATAGGAGCAGGGCTGGAGCAGGTTCCTTGCCTGCTTGCGGGGACATTTCTGTGCTGTCTGGTCCCTGAGACACCCCAGCAGGGAGGGGACAACCTCCAGGATACGAAGTCTTGTCAGCCGGCCAGAGTCTGTTGCAAAAACCCGTATTTCCCTGGAGCACAGCCGGAAAGCAGCGCCTTGCGTGAACTTCTTGGCATGAACATGAGTGTGGCGAACATGCCACTCATAATGCCCTGGTGCTATCGAATCTGTACTTTTCTCAGAACGAATTAACCCTGTAATTAAAAAGTGTGACAAATTCCCATTTAAAGTATAAGAGAATGTTCTTGTTTCTCCCCGAGCTCTGCAGCCCTACCTGATGTTGCTTCGTCTCTCTTTCCATCGGCTGGGAGTGCAGGGCCGGCTCTGCTGACCTGCTCTTTGGAGGGAAGACCAAGGATGCTCTGTGCGATTCATACCCCTCTCCTGCCATCTAGAGGCATCAACCTCGCAGATATTTGTGAAATCATCGTCCACTGAGGAGGCAGAGGGGTTCAGCTGGGCTGGGAGGGGGATTTTGGTGGGGGTGAGTTGCCAGCTAGCTTCTCTTCACAAGTGTATCCTGCTCGGCTTCCAGGAGCAAGTGGCTCTCCCGGGAGTCCTCACCCTTCACCTCCTTCCGGCAGCAGATGTAGAGGCATGGCCCGCTCTGCCACCACAATATCTCATGCTGGGGAAACCAGGGTCTGGAGAGGGCTGCAGTACCCCTGCGGACAAGCCATGCTGCTGCTTCCCATGGCAGCAACTGGCTCTACTCCTTCCTGAGACTTTCAAGTCAACACAGGTGCAGCAGTGCTGGTGAGATACCCACACGACCCCCTTGGCTTGCCCATTTTTGCAGTCCCTTTTCACAGAATCACAGAAGGGTTTGCCTTGGAAGGGACCTTAAAGATCATCCAGTTCCAGCCCCCTGCCCTGGGCAGGGACACCCTCCACTAGCCCAGGTTGCCCAAAGCCCCGTCCAACCTGTCCTGGAACCCTTCCAGGGAGGGGGCAGCCACAGCTTCTCTGGGCAAGAGCTCTGCCTTCCTTGGCCAGCAGAGATGCCCAGAGCTCCCCAAGGACCTAATGTGTCAGACTCTCCCCAGGCAAGAGATCCCCCAAAACACCACAAAACTCATCTGCTGAGCCAAAGGAGCCAGAGTTTATTTCCTGGGGCCAGAACATTGAGGGTCCCTGCAATGGGACCGGCTGAGCAGTGCCACACTGGCTCTGTGCCATGTGTCCCCACACCTCCATTCCCCAGATGTCTGTGAGGATCAACTCTCCAGCAGGGCCTTATAGAGGGGTCTGCACAGCAGTGTCCTCAGGCACATGGCTCTCCTCCTCGCTCACCACTTTCTCCTTGAACACTCGTCGGAGGGCGACTTTCATGGAGCCTTGGAACCGGCGTTGCCGGCAGCTCCCCACCAGGAAGTAAATGAACGGATTAATGCTGCTGTTCATTGATGCCATCAGGTAAGAAATATGAAGGTAAAACAGGTTTGAATAAACAGGATCAAGAAAAATCACCACGCTGAAGGGGAACCCGAAGAGGAACAAGAAGATCACACTGAGCAGAACAGCAACATAGAGTTTCCCTGGGTGTCGCCTCCGTGAGCCACATTGGAGTTTGATGAACAGGGAAATGTTGGAAAGGAATGGGAATAATGAGAAAATGAGAAAATTCACAATGCTTATACCTTGTACTAGTTGTTCACAGCTTATATGTAAAGGGAGATAACAGCTAATGAATACCAAAGAAACAAAAAGTCCAGTGAGAGCCCAGAGCACCCCACACATGATGCCCGACAAGTGCTTTGGGCGGTGACACCGGTACCAGATCGGGAACAAAACAGACAGGCACCTCTCCAAGCTCATTGCTGTCAGGAGATACATGCTGACAAAATACCAGAACAGAAACAGATCCATCAGGATATAGTTGGTCAAACGATATTGAAATGAGAAAATGCAATAGACTGTTGAAATAAAATGGAATGTAAGTTTAACAAGAAGGAACAGGAGCAGAGAGAAGTCAGCGATGGCCAAGTTCAGGACATAGACAGTGAAGGGGCTCTTCTTCATCTGGAAGCCCAGGAACCACACCACCATCACATTCCCCACAAGTCCACACATGCAGATACCAATACAGACACCTGAAATGATCAACATACTATGATGTTGTCGTATGCACTGAGATAGATCAGCTGCCTGAGAATCTGCATCTCCAGAAGTCACGTTAATCAGAGAGGGGTCTGTTGCGCTCGTCTCCTCCATGGTGACTGACCCTGCTCTGGCTGGCCGCCTTCTCCCTCTCCCACCACCTCCTAGGAGAGACGAGGAAGGAGAAGGAAATGAGGGGCACTGGCACTCCCAGCACTCCCCACCTTTCCCTACGCCAGCCCCACGCCAGCCCCAGGCTGCACCAGGAAGGACCCTGTCCCCTGCCGTGCCCAGCACAGGCTCCCACCCCTCCAGCCCTGTCCCTGGACAGGAGGCATCTCCCACCTGCCTGTCCCTGGTCTCCTACCTCCTGGTGCTCCAGGGAACAGTGCTGCTGCAGGAGCCCCGGCACACGGGGCCTTGGCAGGGCCAGGCTTGGCACGAGAAAGAGGGTGGTGATGGCTGCTGGGGCCACCCTGCTCTTCTGTGGCCCTGTCTCTCGTGCCTGAGGAGCAGACCTTCACCCACAGATCAGGGCCCGTGGTCAGGAGACTCCTCTCACAATCTCATCACATCAGCGGCAGCTTCCCCTCACATGTCCCATGGACGGCGATCTCGCCAGTAGGGGTTGGCCACGTCACCCCCCTCCTCGCCTCCTCCCGTCCTCCAGCATCATCCCACCATGCGAGGGGCTTCTGGCTTTTGTTGTGTGTACCTGGTGCTGGACCAGGAGACCCTCCACACTGGGAAATCACCCGTGTGTGGACACACAACAGCATAAAGGCTTCGCCCGCTGCCCTGGATGAAACTCCCCAGGCTTGTTGCCTTAGAGGTTTTGTCTGTGGGCTACATGGGGCTGCAGATGGGATTTTATTTGCTGGTTCTTGTGTCTCCAAATCCCACCTATCAGCTCTGTGGAGATAGCTTGCTTTTCTCTTTCTTTCTTTCTTTCTTTCTTTCTTTCTTTCT